CACACACACACACACACACACACACACACACACACACACACACACACACACACACACACACACACACACACACTTTCTCACTCTTTAACTCTCTTTACTTCTTTTATTTCTGCCTTCAACACACACGTACAGTGACCAAAAAAGAAAGAAAGAAAATCATCCTATCTAGACTCATCCTTCTTCCCATTCCACATCTTTTGTCCAACATCTGTTTGCCATCCTCCCTGCCCGAAAATGATCCACTTTGTTTACCTGCTGATAAATTGTTTGTCATTTTATGGTGCTGTAAACATCTTCCACAGCGGCACTCTTTAAAGGACAAATTGGGGATTCTGTGTCATAATTAATATCCCTTTTATCACCTCAAGTTCTACCTTTTTCCTCAAACTGGTGCATGACTTCCCTGCACATGCTGACAGGGATGATATTGTAGTTGTAATTCACAGAAAGGCTCATCCAATTCAATTACTGCTGTTTCCGCCTGTGGCCACAGACGACAAATCACTTAAGAGGTTTATGGGAAAACATTTCACCATTTACATCATGGCTGTGGATCAATGGCTCCAATTTTTCTCCCATTTGGCGTTCAAAGAGACAAAGGAGGGCCGCATGATTCGCATGTCGCAATCCCACGTAAAAATGAAATGCTGCTGTAATACTCTTTCGCTCATGGTGACTTATGCAGGAAAATCACAGCCCTCCCCATTTGCCTTCAACCTAGCTCACTGCGGTTGTATTCCCTCTGCAGGCTTGCACCAATTTCAACGACAGCGGGGCCTGCGTGACCCAGTGCCCTCAGCCCTTTGTGTACAACCCGACGTCCTTCCAGTTAGAGCACAACCCCAGGGCGAAGTACACCTATGGAGCCTTCTGTGTCAAGAAATGTCCACGTAAGTCTGCACCTAGTTCTCAGCGAACGCAGTGCACATCCAAGCAGCTGCAAAATGATCTAGTGTGTGTGCCATTACACAACGCTACGCCGCAATAACATAGATGCTGATAATAACGCTCGTAAATAAGTCTTTGTTTTTTGTTTTTTAGAATCTGTGCTGTTGATGAGTCATTTATCCCCTGTCAATCCTGAAATTGGACCCCAGGCAATTATTTCAAGTCAAGATAGATTACTCAAACATAAATCAAACATAAATAAAGTGTGTATCTCAATCAGCTAGTTGCTATGCCATCTGCTTCAGCTTCTGGCAGCTGAAAAGGCTTAGCTCGTTCTGTCATGGATGTGCAGTTATGGTAGTGAAATATTTCAGGGAACGTGCATTAAAATTTGAGTGACATGCAGAGACTGCATGTTCGACTTCTACTGATCATCAGATGATCATACCACAGTATGGCTTTCCTGTTTCTGCAACCAAGTACTTAGCTAATTCATTACTGTTTCTCACTGATATAGACCATTAGTTTTGATCATTACACAAATGTGATTAAAATACAATCAGTTTCATACAATTAGAGGGGTCCTTCCAGGAATGTGCTTTGATTTTTATAGTATTATATTTCAAATTTATTGTAGGGGGTTGTACGCGGTATGCTAAAAGACTGGTGAAGTCCTCTAATTCAGATTTTTGCTGCTTTTTCTATCAGATAACTTTGTCGTGGACCACAGCTCCTGTGTGAGAGCATGTCCCAGCAACAAGATGGAAGTGGAGGAGAACCGGATTAAAATGTGCATCCCTTGCACAGACATCTGTCCAAAAGGTAAACCCAAGCAGCGATTTCTGAAAATAAAGTGCGAAATATATAGTTCCTTCAGTCAACTTGTGCTGAATGTCATATTAAAGTGTTTCATGCCTGTTAAACATGGTGGACCAGTTCTGTGAGTCAAACTACTGAAGTAGAAGCCTAGCATACACCTAGCAGGGAAGTTACTAATTAAACAAAATGAAACTTAAACCTAAAGGAAATACATAAACAGGAAAGTTACAAAACAATTTGCCTTTTGGAGACAAAAGTGCTAACATTAGCTTATAGCTTAGCAAACCACCCTCTGGCTCTAAAAAACAAGGTAGCAAAAGCTGCAATTCTAAAGTTATAGGTATAAAGCATATACAAATCTGTGGATAAACCAGGTGATTTCAGCAAGAATATCTTTAATTTCCTGTATGGAGAAACACAAGAGGGACCATACAGTAAATAATGACAGAGCAAGATCTGACCTACACAGTCATTTCCAGTCAAAACAGAAGCTAGAGCAGCTGTTCGTCATAAATTCTCTATGCACTTGTAATGCAAGATTTTTCAGCTTTTGTTGTGCAAAGCGACCACAGTTAATTGCTCAAAAGCTTATTCTGTAATAGGTTCAGGTCTCTGATTTGTCAACTGTTCCCCCAATCAGTCACCAGAAGTAAAAAAATAATAACCATATTTCTATCCCAAGGGAAAAATTCCCCAATCAAGTAGTTGGCAGTTGCTATGAAACTGATTGCTAATGTCCCAATCATGAAGCCATAGAGACCAGTCAGTGATGCAACCACACTGAAAACCACTAGCAAAATGCTGCGATTGCTCATAGTTTCAATGGAAGATGCAAACTTGTCTGCAAACACTCACCAACTACTCTCTCAGCAGCAGTGAAACTATGAAAACTGATCCAAACCAGAAAATGAGAACATTTGTCTTCAAAGTAAAAGTTGTGGCTTTAGCAATGTGTTGATGGCAGCAGGGAAACACAACTTTTACTGTGACCTCAGAGGGTTTCCATTTACTTGTGGGGATCTCGTTTTGCTCATGCTTGGACAGCAGTTGGACAGTTTTTATATATAATGCTGCAACTTCCATGCAAACTATGGTCAACTGCAGCAATCTGCTTTCAACAAAGGTGATCCCAAGGAGGACTTTGGTTTCGCACCCTCCAACAACCACACACCAAGCCATCAAGGAGTGCACCAACTGGTCTCTAAGCCTGTGTGACTGAGACCTAAGATGGATGTTTGAAAAGTGTGGCCAAGGTATATTTCTGTCTCAAGGTTTCTCATGGTTTCATATTAATTGACACTTGGAGTAACTCATAAGTCACCCTGGGGTGTTTTATTGCCCGTTGGCCTGGGTAGTTTTGGTTTAGGCTGTCAAATTTGTGCTGTTGAATGGATAAACCATGAAAATGAGCAGATTTTTATCTATTTATTATGATAGCATAACAATAATGTACAGGTATAATGTGCAAATCAAACAAAGTGAAGTGATAATCCAGTTTGATTCTCATTTTTCCCCCTGCTTCTACGGCTACCAGGCTCACTGCACTGCATTTACTGTATGTACAAGAGCTTATGCAGTTAAAACATTTTAATCTAATAGCTTTATGCTAACAGTGATGATACCAAATCGACACGAGCCCAGGGGAATCACTTAAAAAGCTTTATATAAGAAATGTAATTTATTTTCACGGGAGGCAGCTTAGCTTTTTTTATGTTACCGTGAATGTACTTACAGCTCAGATATTGATTCCAGCGACCCTTCCAAAATCAACATCTTCTTTCCTGTATGAGCCACGCCGTGCAGTGCTCACATCTGTAACATTCTCAGCAATGCAGTAAACTTTATCTCATTTTATTAATGAAGTCTTCTCTAAACCTTCCATATTGTTGATTTCAAACATTAATAGTTAGGTCCTAACGCAAAATTAATCTCTGCGCATTTCATTAACGGGGCTTTGGCTACATGACACTCATTTTCTCTTATCACTGCAATGTGTATCCAGTGCATACTCATTACATCCTGTTGGAAGTTAAATATGGCATAAATGAAGGTCACGTGTTTGATCCCCACAACAGTCGACATGGTAATTAACACAAAATAGTCTCATAATGAGAAACTGCTCCTACCTGCTCAGTAATTACAAGTCATTTTGCTGGAAGACCGTCTGCTAAATGCCTAAAATGGCTAATGTGAAATTAAACAGCATTACTTCAGTTCAATACAGAGGATTAGCCCCGTCATCACATTGTTCTCACAAAGGTAACTGATCTGACCTCTCTCTTACGGAGGCAAGGCAACAGTGTTTTTCTTCAGGTTCCATGTATGGGCTGTGGCATCCATTGATTGGCTAATCCCTTGATTACATCGTCACATAGCAGGGAGGGGTTAATGAGGGATAGCCCAAAGAACTCTGGGAAATGATAACAAATTAACATTTCAGATATCGCGTTGGCTGGTATAAATCACTATCAAAAACTGGTTACACCACTTAATGCCAGCCTTATTCATCATCCCCTCCGCCTCTGTCAGAAATACTTGGCTCACACTAGACCGCAAGTCTAATTAATGCAGATGTAATGAATTCATTATAGGGAGGAATTGGCTGTGGATTGGCCCATGCTTTCATCAAAAGAATTCCAATACATGGAGAGGGGCCATGGCCTTTCATGCACACCCAAAAGCAGGACCATATTTTCATAAAAGAGTATGAAACATTACAGTGACAAATGGCCAGTGGTAATTTCTCAAAATTAGGCCTTTGCAATATACAGGGACTTCAGATATGCATTAAAGTAGGTAAATTCTCCATTGCTAAAGCAGCTACAATGGTCATTTAAGTAGTATTTCTAACTAATTGTGTGTTTCGATGTTTGTTGTTTCAGTGTGTGACGGTATAGGAACAGGAAGCCTGCAGTCAGCTCAAACAGTTGACGCCAGCAATATTGATAAATTTGTCAACTGCACCAAAATCAATGGCAACCTCATCTTTCTCATTACTGGCATTAAAGGGTGAGTGCCACTCACACTCAGTGATTTCACACAAGTTTTTGTTAAGCATATTTGATGGAGCACACACAAAAAGAAGATTTGTTTTTACTTTTTTATGTGTCATACAATTTCAGAACTTCTAGATTAACATGCACAAACAAATTTTATCTGTCTATGTGGTTTTTTTCTATGATTTTTTTTTAAACTAGAAGGTGTCAAACTGTACATTCTTTGAATTACTGAGGTTTGATAATCAGTTTTTCTTTTCTGGGAAATTCATCTGCTTTGGCAAAAAAGTAACTGCCATACAGAACAAGAAGTTTGGATCCAGATGTCTTCTGGCATCCCCATTGTCCCCACTGATGACCTTGGTGATGGAATGGGTTGGACTGATACTTATATAGTGCTTTTCCACTCAGAGCACTTTCAATAAGCATCATTCACCCAGCCACACAAGTTCATGCAAGTGCTTTTTTTCCATGCCTACGCACTTTTGACCTAGCATTCACTTGCTCATACTCCTTTCGATGTATTGGGGATTCAGTGTCTTGCTCTGAAATACAGGTTGGAAGAGTCAAGGTTTTTAGCAGATGACCTGCTCCACCTTCTGAACCACGGCCGGCCCCAATACCCATTGGGTTCTTAAATTGGGTGCGGTGAAGATGGTGTCTAGTACACAGTTTGGTCTACTGACGAGTCATATAGATGCTTTAAAGCGCTTGAGCTGAAGGCAACTAGGGATTCTTGAAGACATTTTACTTCACGTGTTAAGCGTTATTAGCTGAAAAAGAGTGGACAAGAGTTGAAATGTCTTCAAGAGCCTAAAAGAAGTCCAGTTGTCTTGGACTCAAGCACTTTATCTCACACTCATATACACACACGCAGACACACACACATCTCCATTGCACTGTATCGTCCTGTTCTGTCTATTGTTGCACTGTCTTGTCTTGTTCATTTTTGCTGTTTTTATATATTGCACTTTGCGTAGGCCTGTGTTTGTCCGTTATATGTCATATGTAGCACCAGGGTCTCAGAGGAATGCTGTCTCATTTCACTCTGTACTGTGCCACTGTACATGGTTGAAATGACTATAAAAGCCACTTGAACTTTAGCTCATCATACTGAGTGACTGAGACTCTGTACAGACATACTGATCTTTTGCCTTCAAGTCGATCCCTACAAGTGACCACATTCTAGTTATGCATAGTTAATAAACCCACTGTTGGGGTACTATGTAGGAGCAGCAATATGTGCAGTTTTACTGAAGGACAACATAGGCTTCACTACATGGATGAAAACTTTACACACAAAACCACTGCACATGGAGAAAAAAAGAGAGCAGTGAAGGTCAGGGAGCGCTCTTACCTTGTCAGCTACTCTTAACAGCATCCTGAGGACAGAATGATTATAAATCATAATTTGGCTATCGGCTTTAGTTGGCTTAAAAACCTTAATGAAACGTTCATTTATAAAGCCTTGCTTTAGCAACATAGACTTATTATGCTTTATACTTCTCTTCAGGGATATGTATCACGGTATTGGGCCTTTGGACCCTGAGCGCCTCAACGTGTTCCGCACCGTGAAAGAGATCACAGGTAAGACGGCCTCACTTGGAAACACTGAATACAAGAAGATTTACAGGGTGTGTTTGTGCATGCGGCCGTGTGAATTATTTGGCCTCTAAAGTAGTGAAAGAAAGCTTTAAGAGGACAGCAGATTTTTGCCAGTAAGCTCAAAAAGGAGCTCTGGTGCATATAATATTATTGTGTGTGTGCAATATCTCCATAGTTATACGTTCTTTCACTGTGTGCTGCTGCTGCTGTGTGCATCCTTGTGTGTGTACTTATTCATTAGCTATTAGAGGCCTTAAGGGATGAGCAATACCTCGTATACAAACCCTTTTGTCATATTAAACCGCGACTTGCAGTTGAGCCAAACAGCTAATGGAGTGAAACTGCATTTTCATAATGAAAACCTAAGCAATAAGAAAGAGCAATGGCCATTCTATCCCAGCCATTTCCTGCTCCTATCCCTTTTAATGTCATTTCCACAGATGCTGATTTGATATAATCTGTCATTAAAGGCAACCAGACAAATTGTGCAGAATATTAAATCCATTCTTTTAATTAGCAATATTAAATATTAAATATTGTCTTCTGCAAGCGCATTTCCTACAAAGAAAAGGGTTTCTTGCTTGAACTTCAGAGCAGCTCCGTGATCTGAAACTTTGGATGTAGGCAACAGAAGGGTTTTTATCCGTTGCTCATTATTTTTGTGCTCCTTCATCAAATACCGCCACATACTAATTAGCACATGTTCAACCACTTTGCCTGACATGTCTTCTTTAGGTTACCTCAACATCCAATCCTGGCCTGAAAACATGACAGATCTTAGTGTTTTTTCCAGCCTGGCTACCATTGGAGGCAGAGCTCTTTACAGGTATGTTTGCAGGCATGCCCACACTAACTTTCTTCTGTCCATCCATGGATTTTCTTCCACTTATCCATTTCAAGGCCGAGAGACTAGATTCACCAGATTGCCAGGCTGTTACAGGGCTAACACATAAAGACAGATAGCCAGTCCTGTTCACAGTTAAACCTACAGCCAGTGTAAAATTGCCAGTTAACCTGAATTTGAAGGCAGGACCTTCTTGCTATGACCTGACGCGATACCACGCTGCCAAAATTGGACCATTGCAGGATAAATCATTTGGGTGCACTTGCACTTTCCCTCTAACCATTGGAAGGCTTCCCTGTGAGTAAACTACGGTAGCTGCCCCAAGAAGGCATTTAACTATCTCTGAGTATTGTTCACAACAGAGGAGCAGGTGGATTGTAAAAAGTTGGATTGTTGGGATGTCAGCAGTAACGTGGGTATTGTACTGGACTATTGTGGCGAAGAGAGACAGTTTCCAAATCACCAGCCAATATATATCCAATCCTCACATATGGTCTGGGGTAGTCACTAAAAGAATACATCTGTTAAATACTGGAATTAGTTTCCTTTGTAAGGTGGTTGGCTGTACCTTAGAAATAGAGTGAGGAGCCCAGACATCCACAGGGAGCTGGGAGTAGGGCCACTCCTCTTTTGCATTGAAAGGAGCCAACTGTATTGGGTTTGGGCTTCCAATCATGATGCATCCTGGACAAAAGCTCTTAGAGGTTTTCCAGCAAAGCCCAGGTGGGAAGACACCTTTTAAGACCCATGTTTACATCTCATCTGGAAAATGTCTAAGACAGAACAAGGATGTCTATAATATCCTGTTTGCCCATGTAACAAAACTATGGATGGATGTTGCAGGTTTGCAAATGCGTGCGTCTGAGCGAGATCAGTAAAGAGGAAACACTGCAATATCACCGCTTTCTGCTCATTCATTACTGAGGAGTAATAATAAATTCCACAAAGCTATACAGCATATATTTAAATAAATTAAAATAAACCCATTATACTCACTTAACTCCAGAGGGATTGTTCATATTACACTTGTCTATAGACAAAATGCTTGTGAAATAAATGTAGTCAAACTTTTCTTTCCTTTCTGATCGTTGAAAATGAAACAGATGCTTAAAATGATAAGACTCCGGGACGATATCAACATATTTGCATGTCAGAATATTCCGAATAATTGATGAAACGTCTGTATGTGACAACATCCCACCTTGATACACCTTGAATTGAGCTGCTATGGCATCTAATATGCTGTTTCATGCATGCAACTTTTCAAAAATTGTAGACCAGTGTTATCAGCTGCCCTTGTCAAGGAGAGACCTCGTAGGCTGCAAAATGATGTCACAATTCTGCAGAAATAACCATGTTTGAAGCCTGCAGCTAAATTATAGTATTTCTATCTTTGCCAAAGAGGTTATGTGATTGGTTTGTGCTGGCTGTCTGTTAGCAAAATTACTCAAAATAGTGATGCACAGATTTGCATTTGCCAGAAGAAGGACTTAGCTCAGCTGGTTCCTGGATTCTTTAGAGAAAAGTTGGCAAAATTGGCCATTTCGAACATTTTATGGTCTTTTTTCCGAGAGCATCATCTAATTTCCTGCTGTTTCCTCTATTCGGATGCTCGCCGTTGGAGCTGGTGAGCCACCGGCAGGTTTTTGCTCACAGAAGCTCTTTGAAGCGCTGCTGTCACACAGCTTTGATTTGCCCTGTTTTGATAACAGGTTCTGTGTTTGCTTGCAAGTGACAGATTCGAGAGAGATAGTGCTGCAGAGTCAAAGGAGGTCCAGTCGTGTTTTGTAAATGCCCGTGATGTACATGTAGCTCAGCAGTGCTCGAGTACAAGTCCGAGCTGGAGAAACCTTCTGCATCTGCAAAAGTTTCTTTATGTCTGGTATTTCTTTTTTTTTCTAACATTACATTTTTAATAGGAGTTTTTTTTTTCTCTAGCTTTACGTGACTTCTTGTTCTTCTTTTGTCTGACTTTTAGCTTAACTCTTAATCCATTTTCCCTTTCTCCCCTCATTACTGTTCCTCTCCATCATATATTTTCATCCCACCCTCTAACCTTGTCTTTTCCTTTCCTTCCCCCCCCCTCCTAAACCCTCAATTACTCCTTCATCCTACTTTCTCTTCTTCCATCTTGTTAAAATTGCTTTCCAAATCTTCTTGTGTGCTTCCAACTATTTCTTTTAAATTTGTTATTTCTCTCTGATTTCCTTTCTTCTCCCTACTCGTCCCCTCTACCCCTTCTCCCTTTGCCATGACTCATTTCCTTTTCTATTCTCTCTTCTCTTTCAGTGGAAGTGGTATTTCTCTTTTGATCTTGAAGCAGCGTTGGATCTCCTCGCTCCAGTTCCAGTCGTTGAGTGAGATCAGCGCCGGGAACGTCTACATCTTCAACAACAGCCGCCTCTGCTTCTATAACACTATCAACTGGACGTCGCTATTTAGGACCCCGAGCCAAAAAGTCCTCGTCCGTAACAACCAAGATCCAAAGGAGTGCAGTGAGTAGATGTGGTGTTAAGACTATTAAAGTTTTTAGCTTTTGCAGACCTCTGCACCTTCTGAGGGAGGAATCAGAGTTTAAGCAATATTGCATCATTACGCAGTGTCTTAGCTGCATAATTAATCCAAAATGGTTCAAATTTTGATGCCAAAGTAGGGTTCTGAATAGTTTTTAAACCTTTCAAGAACTCCTGCTCTCCTGTTTTTTTCTTCCACGTAATCGTACTGAGTGTTTCAGGAGGGGTGTGAGCAGCACCACTCAGAAACTGTAGTTTTATTGCATTTTGACTATTGCTAATTTGGGTTTGGCTGGTGTTCAAGTTTGAGAGAGTGTGACAGACAGGCTGTGGCTGCCAGGAAAACTAGGGAAGGTTCCAGGTGAGGTGGACAGAGCGCGTGGCAGGTTGGGAAAAACAGAAGAGAGGTGACGGGAAAATGACATGAAGCTGAGAGTGGCAAAAGAAAATGTGGCAGCAGGAGACAGGGTGGTGGTGGCAAATGAGATAAAGGACCCGAGTCACGTGGAAGCAAAGAGCTACTGAAGAGGCCGAACAACACAAGGGACAAACTTGGCTGGGTCAGTGTTCAGTGTTAGCAATGACCACATCTGGTACACACACATTTCATAACAACGGGGTCAGTTAAAAGAATGATTGGATGGATAAATTGCTGGAGTAATTTCTGAGCACCGGTCTGAGGACAAGGCCATGCAAAATTTCAATTGCAATGAAAGCCGATTGGGTAAAAGTGATGTGCTAGCTGGCTAGTTTTTGTTAGCTGCTAGCATCTGCTTTTTGGACTAGTTCATGTGAAAGTTACCTGCAATAAAGTAGACAGGATACGTTTAGAGTATCTTTTAGAAGTTTAAAGTGATTGACTCTCAGTGTGGGTTTGATTTTAACAGTATAACATTAAAAGTTTGTGTAAGTTACTCTTTAATGCTACACAGATGAACTGAGCAGTCTGTCAGAGTGAATGCGTCTCCGTTGTGCAAGTGCAATGCAAATTTCATCCACTATATAGTGCTCTACGAAATCCTTATGATGCATGAAAAATCAGTGTACAGTAATAAAATCACTACTACTCATCCACATCAAAAGGAGTCAGCTGAGGTGGTTTGGGCATCTGACTAGGATGCCTCCTGGGTGAGGTGTTACATGCCATTCTACGAGGAGGCCCTGAGGTAGACCAAGGACATGCTGGAGAGATTACATCTCTCTCTGTTGACCAGCATAAACCCCACATAAACTGGAGAAGGTGGCTGGGGGGTGGGAGGTTTGGGTTTCAGCCAGTCCCAGACAAAAGGCAGAAGATAGATGTATGGATGAGGGAGTGACTGAAAAAGTGGATGATTTAACCACAGCCACACAATATACTAAAAGAGAGAGAAAAAAACAGCAGCCAGAGGCACAAGAAAAGGGAAAACAGTAGGAATGAGACTAAACGACAGCCATAGCCATGGTACCATTAGCACTCTAATTACCTCTACCCCAGTATTACACACTGACTTGGCCAATTTCATGGGAACTGTCATGCCTTAAAGGTATGTTAAGTATAATGCTTGCAATGGGAAGTGGAGGCGTGATGGAATGAACAACAGGCAAATAAAGGGACATATTGCTCATATGATTCCACAATACCCAGGGTAATCAGCTTATTTATAATATTTGTGAGGATTTGTTAGAGGTGGTTGCCACTAAAGCTTTCTGTGTCTGAGATGGAGATAACTAAGCCGCCATAGTTTTTCACGGTCCTGCCACACTGCGGTTCATATCATTAGCCAGTTAATGAGTACGGTGTGTGTATTAGAGATCGATCGATGGCACCTTACACAGGTCTCTTCATTAGGCTCAACCCACTGTCTACGATTGACTGTTCTCCTGTTGACAAAGGGTTTGGCCCCCACCAGGCGACACTCCCGGGGATATGTGTGTCACTCAGCGATTGAGTGTGATGAGCATTATTGATTGTTGTGGTTCAACAGGAAAGGGGGGGGGTTACAATTATAGTGGATGTGTTCTTTAATGGCAGAGATGTGGGGAATACCAATGTTTACTCACTCAGGTGGGCAGAAACATACAGCAGTTTGAGCTTCCGATAGCTGTAGAAAAAAATATATAAATGCAGTCCATTTACAAGCACTGACTTATCTCCTAGGCATGAATACAGAATAGATATACACACATTGCTACATTTATACACTTATAATTTGGGACAGGCAGCAATGTTATAGACATCTTAAAGAAAAGACATTCTGCCAATGAAGTCTCTGGGTTCCCCAAGAATCAACACTGACTTTCGACAGTCTTGTGATCCATTTCGCCAACTTTTTTCATCTTGTGCCACCAAGGGGTCAAAGATGAAAGTGTGTTAATGTCTGTAACTTTTGCACCATTCTTAATTTTTAGATTGAGAAGACAATTGCATCAATTATTGGAACAAACCGAGTTCAGAGGACTGTACAACCAATTTTATGTTGTTAAAAAAATAACACAAATGATCTTCAGGTATACATATGTCCCTGCTATCAAAATAGGAGGCAGAGTTGCCATACAGGAAGTGACGTGAGCAACACTTCTATCAAGCCAAACATTGGTGATCCTAGGACCCAGTTCTTGCAATTGCATTTCACTTTTCACAGTCTCACTGTTTATTGCAACAATACTAGCAAAAGCCACCAACTACTTAACAATCATTGGGGAATACATGTTTTTCCTTCATGTCCACTGGTTGCTAACCAGTTGCCAACCAGTTTCTAGGTCTGTGCTGCAGGACCCTAATTTGTTTAGTACTGATATGTGTAGAGATGTTTAATAAAACTGTTAAGCACTTTGGTAGAGCTTGAGAATTTTAAAGTTATTTTTGTGTACAAGAGGACAAAATATAGTGCCTGTACCTGATCGTACTGTGGCGTATCCCAAGACACAGACATTTCGAGGTGTTACGTAACCACAATATATAACTGATATATAATTGATAGCTGATAGCCAGACCAAGGATCATCAAAGATATAAGCTGGATATTAGCCACATACACACTTAACAGGTGATCGTACCCCAACACTTGTTTAATGTGTTGACACCAAACATCCTCCCTGTTGTCTTTAAAATAAAATTATACTATTTTGACCATTTGAACATTCTCCTCACAGTCCAACAACGAATGGTGTGTGACCGAATGTGTTCGGACGATGGCTGTTGGGGACCAGGGCCAGACCAGTGCCTCTCTTGCCGATATTTCAAGCGAGGCCGTACCTGCGTTCAGTCCTGCAACCTTTTTGATGGGTGAGTAGTCGATTCATTCAGTAAAAGTCCTTTCCTTCCTCTGACACATTCTGAGCAAATGTTGTACCTTTGAGTAGATCTGACTTAAACTGTGAAAGAATAAAAAAAAACAACACATTTCTGATCATTGTGGTCCCAGGAAGCTGGATTAATTCCTCAGCAAACAGCCATACGTGACAAGCAGCAGAAATAAAATCAATTTAAACTGTTTTAATGCATGAAAATGAAGTCAAAACATCCTCAAGGGCTCTGGAGGAGGAGAGTCTAATTGCTGATTGGCATGAATGTAATGAGATGAACCAATAAGGAATTTTACAGTGCGAACAGTCAGAGGAACATTTGGCTGCATATTACACCCACTGTCCAAACTCAATTTAAGTATACACCATTGTTGAAGCACATTTCATTTCAAATCACCCATTTGGACTGACAGACATGAGTGTTTACTGCACTGAGCAGGAAAATGAAGCAAGCTGTTTCCGAGTGTCCTCACAATCCACTGATCTTCGCTGTGAGTAATTGTATTCAGGTCATCCCTCTATGTTGCCAAGAGGCACATCAAAAAGATCACTGCCAACTCACCTGGGGAGAAACCCTCCTTTGTAGACGTAGTTTCCAGCCTTTTTCTTGCTGTTCTTGAATGAACGGGGAGATGCTGTGAATTGCAACACTTGAAAGCATCCATCTAAAATAAGACTGTACCGGCAGCATCTGCCACAAGATAAATATGACTTTTCTTCCAAGCGGTGTGATGTCAGGCTCGTGTTTTCCTCAGGGGAAGAGGAGAGCGCGTGTTTAAGTGTGTATGAGAGCGAGCAACCCTCGGTCATGTTGACTTGTTGCTGGTCCTTTCCTGCGCCGTTTGTGGGAGGGAAGCTTTGAAGTTGCCGGGAAAAACAGCTCATAGCGAAGGCTTTGAAGAAGACGAGGAAAGGCGCATGGCAGGGAGCGGCTGAACCACACTTGTTTCCAATACTGTAAATACAGTCAGTCACAGTGAGGAAATGCAAGCAATATTCAACAGGCCCACTTTTTGTTTTGAGTCACTGGCCTGACTTGTGGAATCAGAACATCCATAACCCAAAGGCCTGGTGTAAGAAGTGTCTACCTACCAACAAAGACTGCTGAGTTGGTATTTACTTGCTTTTACATAGTCTACTCTCAAAGGTTTTTTCATCTGGCAACAGAAAGGACATAAAATCTGCTACAAAGAAAGTCAGGAGAGGTTTAACAAAATGTGAAAAAAACAAAAGAAAACTTGGCAAAAACTTGTCTTTTTGTTAATGTGTTGTTTGTTAATGTGCCCCAAAGTGGATGTCTCCTTTTCAATTGTTATAAACACAATGAGATTTTTCATGTGCTGTCGTACATACAGTGGGGCAAAAAAGTATTTAGTCAGCCACCGATTGTGCAAGTTCCCCCACCTAAAATGATGACAGAGGTCAGTAATTTGCACCAGAGGTACACTTCAACTGTGAGAGACAGAATGTGAAAAAAAATCCATGAATCCACATGGTAGGATTTGTAAAGAATTTATTCGTAAATCAGGGTGGAAAATAAGTATTTGGTCAATAACAAAAATACAACTCAATACTTTGTAACATAACCTTTGTTGGCAATAACAGAGGTCAAACGTTTACTATAGGTCTTTACCAGGTTTGCACACACAGTAGCTGGTATTTTGGCCCATTCCTCCATGCAGATCTTCTCGAGAGCAGTGATGTTTTGGGGCTGTCGCCGAGCAACACGGACTTTCAACTCCCGCCACAGATTTTCTATGGGGTTGAGGTCTGGAGACTGGCTAGGCCACTCCAGGACTTTCAAATGCTTCTTACGGAGCCACTCCTTTGTTGCCCGGGCGGTGTGTTTTGGATCATTGTCATGTTGGAAGACCCAGCCTCGTTTCATCTTCAAAGTTCTCACTGATGGAAGGAGGTTTTGGCTCAAAATCTCACGATACATGGCCCCATTCATTCTGTCCTTAACACGGATCAGTCGTCCTGTCCCCTTGGCAGAAAAACAGCCCCATAGCATGATGTTTCCACCCCCATGCTTCACAGTAGGTATGGTGTTCTTGGGATGCAACTCAGTATTCTTCTTCCTCCAAACACGACGAGTTGAGTTTATACCAAAAAGTTCTACTTTGGTTTCATCTGACCACATGACATTCTCCCAATCCTCTGCTGTATCATCCATGTGCTCTCTGGCAAACTTCAGACGGGCCTGGACATGCACTGGCTTCAGCAGCGGAACACGTCTGGCACTGCGGGATTTGATTCCCTGCCGTTGTAGTGTGTTACTGATGGTGACCTTTGTTACTTTGGTCCCAGCTCTCTGCAGGTCATTCACCAGGTCCCCCCGTGTGGTTCTGGGATCTTTGCTCACCGTTCTCATGATCATTTTGACCCCACGGGATGAGATCTTGCGTGGAGCCCCAGATCGAGGGAGATTATCAGTGGTCTTGTATGTCTTCCATTTTCTGATGATTGCTCCCACAGTTGATTTTTTCACACCAAGCTGCTTGCCTATTGTAGATTCACTCTTCCCAGTCTGGTGCAGGTCTACAATACTTTTCCTGGTGTCCTTCGAAAGCTCTTTGGTCTTGGCCATGGCGGAGTTTGGAGTCTGACTGTTTGAGGCTGTGGACAGGTGTCTTTTATACAGATGATGAGTTCAAACAGGTGCCATTCATACAGGTAACGAGTGGGGGACAGAAAAGCTTCTTACAGAAGACGTTACAGGTCTGTGAGAGCCAGAGATTTTCCTTGTTTGAGGTGACCAAATACTTATTTTCCACCCTAATTTACGAATAAATTCTTTACAAATCCTACCATGTGGATTCATGGATTTTTTTTTCACATTCTGTCTCTCACAGTTGAAGTGTACCTCTGGTGCAAATTACTGACCTCTGTCATCATTTTAAGTGGGGGAACTTGCACAATCGGTGGCTGACTAAATACTTTTTTGCCCCACTGTACATTGCTTAAAAGCTGCTAGGTGTAGTCCCTGACTGGTTGGCAAAGATTCCTGGCAGTTTCTGGCTCCTGCTGGGTGAAATTGGTCGAAAACTACCGTACTATCTATTTCAACTACTATCCGCAGGGCAGTACAACTTGATAAAGTGCGAAACAATGTAGACAGTTTGCCTTCCAAGTAAAAGTTGTGGCACTGAGGCACTTTTTTCTGTAAAAGTGAACTTTTTTAAATTTTTGGCTTGTGTTGCATTTTTCACAGTTTGCAGCTCAGAGAGTAAGTGAGCAGTGTTTGTAGATGAGTCCATCCCTTCATTTCAAAATACGACTGCAGCAACATGCGACTGACCAAACTTTTTACCAACCGCTTCGAATACTGGTCAAGGAATCTTCCCCAGTGACTGGAGTTTGCCATGGGGTCACTGTGTGTAATATCATTATTCTTGCTATGTACATTTTCTTTATTCTATGGCATGTGTCTTGAAGATTGTAGAAGTAGATACAAATACACTGTTGAATTGTTGAAGAAAGTCATATCATCTGCATAAAAAAGCCACATCATGGCATATCTAAATAGATTTTTTTCAAAAGTGGGTGCAGCCAATACTGTTCTGTTACGGTATGTGAGTTATATATAGTTTTCACCTTTAAAAAATCATTTTAGTCTTATTTCCACAGTCTGTACACTAATTTAATGACTGGATATGGACAGCAGATTGTCATAGCGCTGCTTATTTTCAGCACTTTTGCTGTATGCAGCATAGATTTGCTTAATATTTCACTTTGTTCTGAAGCTACTGAACTGTATATCTCTCAAGAATTTAGTGTTAGCTCATTAAAAATGTTCTCGGGATGGTGATTTTAAACCTTAAGATTCTTCAGCTCATTCTTCTTCTGTGTTTCCATTGTTAATGAGAAGAGGCACTAATTCCCTTCAGTTTATACGTCTGTTGAATAAAACAAAGAGAGAGCAAAGGAGTTTGGGGGTGAGCAGGGAGGACTGAAATGCAATCCCACTGGGGTTGGGGGAGGAGGGAGGGAGGGAGCGAGTGAGGAGCTGAATGGGTTTAATTAAAAAAATTTTAAAAAGTTGCTTTGGTGGGTTGACCGTGCTGTGGCTATTTGGATGTTTGGATTTTTGAACAGCGGCCACAGCCCTGCTTAAATTCCACCAAAACAGGACTAATCCCCCATCAGGTCATCCCCCCAGTGGGGCTTTGGCGCGCACTACCAGCTGTGAAGGAGGCCAATCAGGAGGAACGGCTTTGAAGGAATGGAAATGACCCCAGAGAGCATGACTGCAGAGGTCTTTGTCTCTCACCCATTCTGCTCCATGTATCTTTTCTTCCACCTCAACCAAGAAAAGAGATATCTCTCCACTGCCTGGGCCTTTTTCTCCCCTAAAGGATTCCCCTGCATAGTGCCTCGGAGAGAGGAATCTAATTTATTTTGGAACAAGGGAAAAAAAGCTGGGGGAGAAATGCAAAGAGAGCTATGGGAGTTTCCCACTGAAAACATCATTAATAAAAGGACCATCTGTAGCCTACACACTCTGCTTTTTGGATGTGTCAGACAAACTGCTGTGATCATAAAGAATCAATAGGACCGTTTAAAGAAAAACTACCCTAAAAATAAAGGCTCAGCAAAGGGAAATCTGGGATTTTATCTTCATTTTTATTGCCTTTTAATGTGAGCTGAACACTAGAGTGTCAGGATGTTTCGTTTCTCTTTTTTTTGTTGCTTTTAAAACTACCGAGTCTAAAAGGTTTTCATCTAATATTACCCACATGAAAATGCATAAAAACCCACATACCCGCAGGAGATCCAAAATTCTCAGTGCCACATCTTATAAAAACAGCTCACAAGGAGGAATCTGTGGACTCTTTATTCCACCCCAATAGCATCACATGCAAATATGAACAAAAATCATGCACGTGCACGCGCGTACACATACAGTCCCTTTCATTATCCCGCTGCTGTGAGAAGGAGGTTTGTTTGTAACTGGGCGAATCCTCCACTGAGAGCGTCTGTCCTCTGCATCGGCTGATCGATCCCTCTGATGTGAAAAGTGGTTTTGATCGGCAGCAGTTGTTATTGACAGCAGCCTGCCTCCGCCCGCCCGAGACGCCGCACTTCAAAAGTGAAGATAATGCGCTGATTCGGACACAAACAAGACAGGAATTTTTAGATTGAGAGTATGCGAGTGCACACACACAGACACACACACACACACACACACACACAATCACGCACAGAAACACACCAATATACACATATAAGGATTCAACAGTAAGGCCTGGGGCTATGTGGAGCTCCTGCCAGGGTAATTGCAGTGTATAAACCCAATATCGAGCTCTATTGTTTACTTTCTTTCCCCTCAGAAGCGAAAAAACAAAACCAACATAAAGTACACATTAACCGGCTGACTGAAGCGTTTTAGACGTTGCAGGAACCGCAGTGATTCTTTGATAACGGGATGAAAAGAAAATGTGTTTGGCTTTTTTTTCTTTTTCTTTTATCACACACTCCCTCTGTCTCTTCACTCTGGTCCTATCAAAAGCTAAATGCCCTCTCCGTGGCCTCTCCTACCATCTTTCCCGTTCCTCCTTCCCTCCCACCATCTCTTCTCCTGCTTCCTCCACCTTCCACACATCCCCTCATGTTTGCCTATGATTTAAAAAGACGTTCATTATTCATGGACTTTCTCTGTAAGCATATTGACCATACTAAGCCGTTAACCTGGTCAAATAGTTTTAGGTAGCTCGCTGCCCTGCATGCCCCTTCAGCAGAGGGCACTGCATCTTGGAGATGACCCAGATAAACTGGTTGTTGTATCACACTTGATTTTGTTGAAAAAGGCCTCAATGTACAGCTCGTACTTGCGGCATGCTCTTAATCAATATTTCACTGTGCTCTCAAATCTATAATACATGCATTCCTATTTTCATTTTTCTTATTTATCAGGGAAGAGCGTGAATTTGCCAATGGATCCGTGTGCCTGGCGTGCGATAGCCAATGTGAGAAGATGGATGGAAACACTGTGACATGTCTCGGTCCGGTAAGACCCTCAGTCTCAACTTCCTTTTTACTTAAGAATACATTTTATAAATACAGGAAATAAGCTTTTTAGATTAAAACCACTCCTCATTTTTCTGTGCAAGATAGGGGACTATCTTCTACGTGCCAAAGTGGATTTCCAACTTATTTTGCTGTGTTTTGCACACAGGATTTCCGAAGATATAAGTACTGTTTGCAAAGGTGAATGGTAGGTTAATGGGAGGAATGATAAAGTACTGTAGCTACTTTTGGAGGCATGCTTTTGGCAAGCACCCATGCACACAGTCAAAAAAAAAGCAAAATGAGATTAGATTCTGACCTTCCGGTAAAGTCACTTTTAGAATGATCGCAATACGACTCTCCAAAATGTTTCCTTGCTGAAATGTCAGTGGAGAACATGCACATCTGCATGCATGTGCACAGAAATTGTACGCAGCAACACCAAATGCAAACAAATCTGCTCATGCAAGGCTGCAGCTGCATCATTATCATGCTAGGGTATACGCCAGTGCTCGTATCAAACCTGCGGGGACGCCCAGAAAAGGTTGCCAAACGTCTCAGGAGTTGCAGGATGATTAAAGGGATTGGAAAGCAGAAGAATCCACATATGCCAAAAATAATCTCCACAACATAACTGCGGTTGTTTTTGCTAAAATTCCTGTGAATTACTATATAGTTTCTGTACTTTGTACTTGTAAAAAGCATAAAAAGAAAATATAGTAAGCTGACAAATCAGTCTAGATGTTGTAACTGAATACAGATCTCAGGACATGATCAGAATTATGGTCAACTAAAGTCTAGAGACTGGTCAACGACCCTCTGTCAGCGATGTGTATTCCTTGACCGTTTGCTAAGCGGTTCCTTGAGGTTGCTGGCTGTTGACAGGTGAAATCCTTCACAATGAGAATGCTGTACCAAAACCCTCCTTGTGATTTGTTTGGTTACCAGCAGATTGTTTGCAGACAAGTTACTATTCTTCATATAAAACTACAGGTGATTGCAGCAATCACCAACGAATTCCCGAGGTGTGGTGAAAGTTCGAACCAGAAACAAAGAACATTTCCCTTCAGTGGAAAATGCGTGCCTTACTACAGCAATTTTTATTTTGAAGGTGAGACAGCTCACCTTCAAAATAAATATTTTTAAATATACATATGGATGACACCAGGGGCCAGAAAAAATACTGAAAGAGCAAGACATGAATTCAATTTCAGCGTGATTCAATTCAGTTTTATAGATCTAGCACCAAATCATAACAGCAGTTGTCTTCAAGTGCTTTATGCTAAAAGGTAAAGACCCTACAATAGTACAGAGAAAACACCAACAATTAAATAATCCCCTTTGAGCAAGTCCTAGGCAACAGTGGGAAGGAAAAACTCCCTTTAAAGAGGAAGAAGTTTCCAGTAGAACCAGGCTCAGAGAGGGACAGCTTTCTAACACGATTTGTTGGGGTGAGGGGAGGAAGACAGGACAAAGACACTGTGGAAGAGAGCCAGAGATGAAATGAGATAAACATGACTGAGTGAAGAAGAAACACTCAGTGCATCATGGCAAGTGCCCAGCAGCCTAGGCATATTCTACTGTAACTAAGAGAGGATTCAGAGTCACCTGATTCAACTATAAGCGTTATGAAAAAGAAAAAGTAGAGAGGGTGTCTGTCTCCCGAATCCAAACTGGGAGCTGGTCCCACATCCTATTACAGCACTGCACTCTGTTCCAGTTCGCTCAGTAGGACGACCCATTCTCTCACAGATGTTTATAAAGGCAGACTGTATGGTTAGGTACTTGTTTTTATACGCCTCTGTCAAATGGATTGAAAACACCTGAATTCAAAGATATGGCCATTTGTGCATATTGTGTATGTGACTTATTCTACGTTATCAAGACGTGCGAATTTGAAACCAGGTACATCCACGTGGTTATGAGAATATCCTTGGAAACTTTTTCTGAGCTATTTCAAAACCCCTGGACTAAATTACTTGTGCTCACATACAGTATAGAGTGATTACATCCAATAATATCCATTACAATACTGTTATTTAATTAAATTACCTGCTTGTTGTTTTTTTTCTTTACTATGATGAATTCTGAATCCTGGTGGCATAAATACTGTAGTGGGACAAATGTGGGTACGATCTATAACTGTACAGGAAGCTGATTTTACAGCGCAATGTTTCATTACGAAAAAGTTGCATCTAATGTGCAGCATGACTTGTTTCACGGATTCTAGTGACTGTGTGACTAACCTTTTATGACTGTCTGAGGGAGAGAATAACAGATGAAGAGAGAGAGAGCAGCTCCTCAAGGATGCACAAAGGCTGGTGACGTTGGGATGCTGGTCACAGCTGAGCAGTGAATAACACCAGAGTCAATCATCCACGGGTGCTCAGTCACACGCAGACGCACATGCGCAGTGTCCACGGACATACTTAAATGCATTCGGACATCTGTATGCATCTGCCCTGCTCACACACAGACACGCAACTACGCAAAGTGAGCATAATGTTTATTGATGGTGTGTGTCTAAATGTGTCAAGTGGTGAGAAGCTGTCCATCAGGTCGCCGTGGCTGTCGTTAGCAGCAGAGCGTGGAGCTGAAAAGCCCAGCCGCCAGAATGCAACTTGTTCTTCACAACACACACATACACACACCTCTGTGCTTACACTTTTGTCAGCACTTCGTGCACACGCACATAGACATTCACACAAAGTGTACAGTCAGTTTTCCGCTCCCATTCTAACTTATTCATGCTCCTGCTGCAGCTGAGCTCGTGTTCACTTACCTCTTGTCGTCTCCCCCATCACTTTCAGTGTGCACTTTTTTTTGGCACAACCTGACTCCCTAACCATTTTCCCAGTTTTATCAGGGATACAGTGGAATAAATTCCAGGCACTTTAGCTCAACATGGATTATACTGCCAAAAGTGTTCACTCTCCCATCCAAATCTTTTAATTCAGGTGTTCCAATCACTTTCATGGCCACAGGTGTATAAAATCAAACATCCAGGCATGCAGACTGCTACTACAAAAATGTGTGAAGGAATGCATCACTCTCAGTAGCTCAGTGAATTCCAGTGTGGTAATGTGACAGGATGCAACCTGTGCAACAAGTCCAGACGTGAAATTTCCACACTACTAAATATTCAATCGTCAACTGTTAGTGGGATTAGAACAAAGTAGAAGCTACACTAAATCACACTGGGGTCAGTGGATGCTGAGGCACATAGTGCACAGACGTCACCAACTCCAAACTTCACGTGGCCTTCAGATTAGCTCAAGAACGGTGCGTAGAGAGCTTAATGGCGCAGGTTTCCATGGCAGCATGGCTGCATCTAAGCCTTAGATCACCAAGGGTCGGATGCAGTGGTGTAAAGCACCCCACCACTGGACTCTAGAGTAGTGAAGATATGTTTCCTCGAGTGACGAATCTTAGTTCTCCGTCTGGAAATCAAATGGAAGAGTCTGGGTTTGATGGTCGCCAGGGGAACAGTACTGCTCTGACTGCATTGTGCCAATTGTAAAGTTTGGTGGAGGGGGGATTACCTTAGATCCAGTGAAAGAAACTCTTAATGCATCAGCATACCAAGACATCTGTGGGAACAGTTTGGGGGTGGTACCTTCCTCTTCCAACATGACCAGTGCACAAAGCAAGGACAAATGAATTTGGATGAATTAAAGCAGAGCCTATGAGACAGGCCTTTTTGTCCAAAATAATTGTCTGACCTCATAAATGTGCTTCTGAAAGAACGGTCAAAACGTCTCATAAACACTCTTAAACCTGTGGTAAGCTTTCCTAGTTATTGCTGCAAATTGTGGGCCAACATCACATGGATAAAGAATGAGAGGTCACTCAAGTTCATGTGTGTGTTAAGGCACACGAGCAAATACTTTTTGCAATACAATGTATAAATCATTGCTTGGGATTCATGTGGGCTTATCGCTGTATGAATTTCCATGAACTTTTTCTTAACTTTATTTTTCTCCACTGGTTTCTTTTAGCTCTTCACCCATTATTTTGTTCTTGTTCTATCTTATCTCCTCTTACTGCCACCTTTACCTCCTTCTTCTTTATTCACCCCTTGTCTACCACCCTCTTTGTAACCCATCTTCTCATCTCGCTCCTCCTTGTTGTGCTCTCCTCACAGGGCCCAGACCAGTGTGTAAAATGCCTCCACTTCAAAGACGGCCCTAACTGCGTAGAGAAGTGCCCCGATGGGCTGCAGGGAGCCAACAGTTTCATCTTCAAATACGCCAAGGCCAACAACGAGTGTCATCCCTGCCATGCCAATTGCACCCAGGGGTAAGAGAGGGATGATACATAAAGATGTGTCTATGTATGAAAGTTAATCCGTTTCTTTCAAGTGTCCACTCGCCTTCATAGTTACCCTGAGCAGCTTCTGGCTTAGGTGCTTTTATGCTGTTAAAAGCATCATGGAGTCATACTGCATTGCACTCAGGAGGTATAACAGACAAGGACCACCTCTCTCCCAAGGAGAGGGGACTGAAAGAGGGAGAGAGCATGATTTAATCTTGCAGGTGCTACATTCTTTGACCTGTTGCTAGATTTGGGGATGCCCTCCAGTCAGGGGTGGAATGTATTGACCCTTAAGGTACAGTGCAGATGAACTGAATGAATGAATGAAGGGACAGACAGTAGTAGGGGAGATATGAAGTCAGCAGGCAGAGTGATGTGGGAAAACGATAAAGAAGACATAGAGGAAAAATGGCTGGCTCTAGGTAAAGAAGCAGGTGGATGCATGCACCAAAGATCCAAAAAGGACCAGATTTAGCTCATTAAGGAGTGAGCAAGATAGCATTTGCCATCTTCTGCTTACATTTGAATAAAAATTGGGGAAACTGTCTGTGCTTGCTGTAAAAAGCACATTTAGAACTCATCCAGGGATAGCTGCCAAAATAGGTGTGAGATGATAATGGGGATTAGTACTGAATCAGTTATTCAGTTAATCTATTGAGACTTTGTACAAAAATGACAGTTTATTGCTTGTTTTTCTATTTCATATCATTGCAAATATGTTTTCATTTTGACCCATAATCTGAGAAAACAAGCCGTAAGGACAGAGGAATCTGGCCCTGGGAAAATGAGATAGCCACTTGTTGATATTTGTTGACAGATTTTTTTAAAAATTGGCAATCACTTAGCTGAACCTTTTAGTCTCTTGAGCCCAGTTTTTTAGCCTTAATTCTAGCATTATGAGTGAGAGAGGGTACATAATCATCTACACCACGAATATTCTTAAATTGAGTTGAATTTGCCACTTTATATCCAATTAGCTACTCGTGTATTTCTTTAAGGCATAATGTAATTTAAAAGGCTGAGTTTTGTATTTAAAAAATAAGCATATAGTTGTAACAGAACAGGACATTAGAGACTAAACTGTTTTGTTATACTAAGCTATAAATATGATTTATTCTGCTGTAAAGTTGGGGATTTTAACATGGGGTGTATCATGGCTCACTTTTGGAGTTAGCCTCAAGTGGCTATTAGTAGTGTCTTGTTTTGCAGATAAGTAGTGGGTTTTAAAATTGGACTAAAGTAATAGTTTAACTTTCAGAAAATATACAGATTTGCTCTCTTGCTAACAGTTAGATTGACAGCACCCTCATTAGTACATTACGCTGGTGTCACAAAACGGCTGGAGGCCGAGTACCAAAAATCAAACCCACGTGCAGATTACCCAAAGCGGAGGCTGAGGAAAGGTTTCAACAAAGGTTTATTAACTAGCACAAGAATGATGTTTACGATGGCACTTGGCTTTAGGCTTGACACATGGGACGTGAGGGTCTTGGCCAGGGGAGAGGGATAAAGCAAGGGGACAGGTCCAAGAAAGCAACGGCACCTGGCTGGTGATTAGCTACGTACTGGAAGAGAGGAGAGCAGTGTTAAAGCGGTAGCCAATGAGGAGTCCTGGAGAGGATGGAAGCTATGAAAATCTTCGTCTTACTGTGCAGGTGGGAGATGGAAGCGTTGAAGGAGAGGTAGTGCGGTCTGGGTGGGTTTGGTGGTGTGTGTCAGCTGTAACTGAGCGGTGAAGATCCTGTGGTGGTGTAAGGGCAGGAGGGCAGGCAGGTGAGGCAAGGAGATGATTCTGAAAGCAGGCGGGTTAACCAGATTTCCAAGATGAGTGGTTCAGTGTGATGGAATTTCCAGGAGTAACTAGAACACAAGATTGCAAGGTAAGTAAAGCATTGAGAATCATAGACATGACGCATGAGGCCTGGTTACCAACATAGGGTAGTTGACGAACTGGCGAGGAAGCAGTGTCAGCAAGCAGCTTAAATCTCCAACCTGATTTCCTCAATCAGCTTCAGGTGAGGGAGGCTGTAGGCCCTGCCCATGGGTGGATACCAGGGAGGTCCAGACCTTCAGCGGAATTTTCCAACCACACACCTAGACAGTGTTGCCAACTTAGCGACTTTGTCGCTATATTTAGCGAGTTTTCAGACCCCTTAGCGACTTTTTTTCTAAAAAAAAGACCCCTTAGCAACTTTTTTTCTAAAAAAAAGACGTGAAAGCGCGTATTGCTTTTACTCTCAACAAGCAGCGGGTGCTGTAACGCAGTCAGTTCTTCTTTTACTCTTTTACTCTTATGCTGTTTTGTGGATCACAAGGTTTAAAACTACTTATAAACACACACACAAAGTAACTCCACCAGAGTGCCTATTTCGGGTCACTTTTGCCGGTCCAAGCCCGGGTAAAGGAGCAGGGTTGGAATAGTGACATCAAAAAAAACAATAATTGCCAAAAGAAATTTAATTTGTATTTCTATATAAACTCTAGATGCAATTTAGGACGTTTTTTACTCACTTTATGTCTCTTCCACGATGTTATTTCTCTCTCCAACAACATAGGTTACAATTAGATTAGCATGACCAATTATGCAAATTAGGCAATGACGTCATTTAGCGACTTCTAGCGAGTTTTAGGACAGCCAATAGCGATTTTCCTTACTGAGGAGTTGGCAACACTGCACCCAGACCATGATAGCTAGTAGCCAAAGCTAGTTGGAAATCGGCTTAGCCATGTATAGAGACAGGAAACAGGTTTATAAATGTCCCCATTAGCTAACCCATCAACCTCCAAAAACTGGGCAGATGTTTGTGTTGTATATAATTTTGCACAGAGCCAAATATATATATTTTTTTAGCCTTATTTGCTATTTGGCTTAGTTTATTGCTAAGCTAATGGTCTTAGCTTAGCAGTAAACTAAGCCAGTTAGCATTAAACTAAGCTAGTCCTTAGCTTTATTTTTTTCATAAAAATAATGAAAACGGTGTAAACCTTCCTATCATATTCTACCCAACAAATCCAAAAGTATTATTTCCCTAAAGGTTAACCTGTGCCCTAATGCTCTGAAGGATGTGATAACATCACTTTTTTTGCTAAGTTTAGCGCAACCACCAGCAGCCTTTTATCTGTCTGTTCATATTGATTGAATTTTATCACTGATTAACTTTTATATATCATATATTATAATATATTATTTATGTGCTGTTTTTATTGTCTTGAAGTTGAGTACTGTCTGTGTGCTCTGAGACAACAGATGTACATTAGCAGCTAGGTATCACCAGTGCACTTAGTTTTAAATGTGTTCTGTTCCTTTTTAAACTATAAAATAACTAAATAAAATGTGGCAGATTTAAACACACAGTGAATTTATGTGAGTTTCTTAATGTTCTACAAAATGCCTGCCAATCAAAGTTATAAATAATAGTTTAGCTGTCACGTCTCTCCCGACATACTTTAATACTGAGGCCAAAGCAGTATAAGTCTTCAAAAGAATGGCAGTTGTGGTTGTGGGGAAAATTTACCGTTCTTACCTGTTTATGTTTTCATCCTCTAAAGCTTGTTTTTTGAAGCCAGTATGGCTTTGGCTTTGAACTTGAGCCCAGGCCTTTTTAGATTTTCTGCTAGTGGGGAGACTATTATGGAAGAAGCTGAACAGTGGGGACTGGTAAGACAGACAGAAGATGATGAGTGAGGTGCTGAGGTGGAGCTTGTCGGTGGTCTCTGCAAACAAAGTTAGACTTCTGAATCCTAGCAACAGGGCTGGCGAGACGATGTGCAGTAGAAAGGAACTTAATGTTCTTTCTCTAACATGGCAGGAGGTCATTTTATTTTACTGCAGCTAGCCTGTAAATGTTGATAGTATCAGTGCAGCTTTAAAGAGACATGGAAAGGAGAATTTTCGAAGTAGAGGGGATGACAAAGGATGGAAAAGGTACAAATTATTTACAGATACACAAGTTGAAGATCAAGAATATTATATATATATATATATTAAGAATATTATATTATATATATATTAATATTAATATTATCTTGTATAGAATCGGTACCTTGTTTAAGGACACGTTCACATGGCAGGTCACTCATTAGACGACTTTCCTGACAAAAAATAATCCCTGGCTTGTTGTGTCTGTTGTCAGAAAAGTCCTTTGTTCTCTGCTAATGCAGAAAGAAAACTGATTGAAAACACACACACACACACACACACACACACACACACACACACACACACACACACACACAACACTGGATACAGACACTGATTACTTGCTAATTAGCTATTTGGTACACCATTTAATTGACAACCAAGTGACTTTTGAGGAGCCACAGTTGTCACCGATTTAATTCCAAAGTTAGCCTGCTCTCCTAATTTGCTAAGCAATTTGTTGTGTCGTGTGTACTCACACAGCCTTCGCGTGCACACACACCGAAGCATTCAAAATCTGTTCTCCTGTGTCTTTCTTGTTGTTCAAAAGTCCTCCACTCAAGGATCTGGAATTAATGAGCAGCTAAGAGTCTACTCTAATCACTTCCAGCTTACCTAGTGTTAACAACACTTCTTACTGATCGCTGTGCTTTCACCACCATCCTGCTTTGATTGTTCCGATAGGAAGAAACAAAGATAAACTTGTATTTCTTGTTCTTGGAGAAAAAGATAAATGTGATTCTTCGAAAGATAAAGAGTGATATCTCACAAGAAACACTACAGCATTCTTCCTTTCAGTCATCAAACATTTCACGGCAGGGCCAATTAACAATGAAATGATTGATAATTTAATAAATGTGATGGAAACATGTATTGTAGACATTGGAGAGACTAAATTCTTTCAGCAGAAACCTCACTGATGTTAAATGGACTGAAAAACAAGATGTGCAAAGAAAGAATAAAGCATAATTAAAAGCGGTAAAGTAGGCTTACCTGCAAATTGTATACAAGCTCAGAACGTTTAAGGTATAAGATGTAGCTACCATGTTACATTGAGGCTACACTGAGACTTTGATAACATTGCTCACAGCTAGATGAGATATGCAGTACTTACTGATGGTTGTCATAGCGAAGCTGTGGACCAGGGTGTCCAACTCCAGGCCTCAAGGGCCGGTGTCCTGCAGGTTTTAGATCTCACCCTGGGTCAACACACCTGAATCAAATGATTAGTTCATTACCAGGCATCTGGAGAACTTCAAGCCATTTGAATCAGCTGTGTTGGATCAAGGCAATATCTAAAACCTACAGGACACTGGCCCTTGAGGCCTGGAGTTGGACACCCCTGCTTTAGACTATCTTAAAACCATAGATACCCCGAGTATCTATCCACTGTAGTCCACAAGATCATCTAGGAACTCAGCTGATCAGTAGGTGGTGATTTTGTACATGAATGTTAGGTCTGCAGCAGAAGTTACCATCACCCTTGTGAAAAGTACATTTTTGTAACAATAAAAACGCAGCATTAACCCTGAACTAAGCCCTCAAATACTCTACGTTGTAGTGTAGGCATCAGGTTTTCCTAAGGCAGGAAGAATCTTCAAGGAAATGTATAATGAGGTCAATGCGTTAGAAAGGCTCCACCATGGGTTGACCCATACAGGCCTCGCCCAAAATACAGATAGCTTACCCAATAAAATGGTTAACTCCAAAAAGCTTGTCGCACATACGTATACAGTCACATTGCTCTTTTACCTCTGTTTTTCTCTCTCCACCAATCCTTGAAGGAAACACATGCTGCTATCTATCAATTTGATCAATTCTAATGCTTTACTTTGTTTTTTAGGGAGTAGGAAGTCTTGTCCATCTGCCACGTGTCTCTGGGCAGGTAGCGTGCGGTGGGTTTTGAAAGCTGGTTTTGTAAATGTAAATTTTTGTAAATACAGAGAGCGGAAAAACCCCAAAGAGCTGAGGAGATTTGCATATTTAGGTGATTATTATCTGTGTATTCATCACTTGGGCGGCTCCTTTTTCCTCACTGACAAGCTGTCATTATGCTCAGCCGTTTATCAAGCAGACATGCAAACAGTATAACACCACTGCAATAAAACTGTATGCCATACATTTAGATTCTTTTAAGAAATATCCCTGCAGCTTCCATATTTAAGGTAAATGCCACTTTATAAAGCTGTGTGAGGAATGAGGGTGGCTGTTAATACCACTAGAAGGCCCGACAGTAAATCCTGTCATACTAGAATATGTGAATCTTGACCTCCATTCTCTAAAACTTTAGATCACAAGTTCACACCCAACATTTCTCAACCTCATTACTGTTTTTGGGGCTAAAATGAGGAAATGCTCAGTGGAGTCAGAAATGGCCTTATTGTGCACTTTTTTAAATTGCCGTTATTAATCTTTTATAACTATTGAAAGTTTTCTTTTTAGATTGATATTTGTCTCTTTCCCATTGATTTCCCCATAGGTTTGAAACAGCACTTTGGTTTGAACTAAATGATGTATGTTGGGATGTTTGTTGGGTTTTTTGTCTCAGCCCAGAAATCCATTGAAATAGCACGTGAACCAAATGAGAACAAACAAGCCTTCCAGCTCACACACCTCTTCGTGTCATATTGACAAGCGGTCAGCCATGCTCGGGATTCAATATTTCACAGGTCCCTGCCCAGTGACAGCTGATTGACGTGGAAGAAAAGCAACATGAGGTTTACTCATAACCTGTCCCCGATTTAATGGATGATCTCTCTGGTTTCTCTGCCCTGCAGGTGCGTCGGGCCAAGACTCCAAGATTGTGTTGGGATGATGGACAGGTAAGGCATCTCAGGATACATTTGTGATGTGGGACTGGGAGACCACCATCAGATCCTGCTAAAACTCATTAAAGTTTCTGTTAAATCCCGTACCTTATGATGCTCATTAACAACAGTGTAGTCCATCTGACAGGTAACATGGGAATCTTATGTTGTTGTCTAAGCTTGTGCTAAGCCTTCATCTGGTCCAATTATGTTACTTTGACTGTGTCTGATATGTGTAGATGGAACCAGCAAGGGGGAAAAAAAGAAAACAAAAATCCTCTGAAAACCTTAACAGATGTGGGATAGAGTGTATGGAGGAAAAAAAGTGCCAAAATAAATCAATAAATAAACTATTAAAAGTATCAAAGATATTTACAAAATGTTTCTTTAATTTGATTATAAATGATGATTTTGGTCCTTTGTATGTTGTAAATTTTTGCTTGAAAAACTGATATTAGCAACATTTTTATATTTATATTTTATATTTATATTGTCCTTCTTATTTAAAATTAAATTTTACATTTTTAGTTAACTTTTTAATTTTAATTTCGTTATTATATTTATTTTTCAGTGATGGCAAAAGCAGTACTTGGGTGGCCAAACGAAAAATATACATTAAGAAACTGCCATTAAAAGCACCAGTCTTTATATTAAGTATATTTATATGTTTTTGGTCACGTTTTTATTTTTATTTTCTTCTTTTTACATTCTTTTGAGCATTCTAAATAAGACCGTCTGTCATTGGAAGTGTTCTGTGGTATCAGTTTTTTATCCTTTAGAGAGACGGCATCCTGCGGTGAGATGATTGCTAATTTCTAATCAGGCTGAAAGCCCCCTCCTCGTTTGGTAATGAAGCAGAAATGCACAAAAAAAATTCAAATTAATAACGGGGAAATAATACACATAAGCAAATGAAAACAGAATTGAGTATTCTTCTAATACTTTATCAAATAATTTGTTTATACGTTTATTTAATAATGTCATGGTGCATTTAATGGCTTAATTAATTAATTTATTTTTATATATCTGTTTACTTGGACTTGTCATAGTGACACATCAGTTTTAGGCCTTTTATCACATTGGAGAGGGTATAAAGGAATTGTAAATCTTTTAAATGAATCTTTTAATTGATAATTAAAAGATGCAAAACTGATAACACTTTAATAACTAACTGATGATGGGAAGCCACTTCTGTAAAGTAGCTGTGTAAAGTATGAAGATGGAAAGCTGTGGGAAAGAGTAAAGAAAAAATGAACTTGTCAGCACGTTTTAGCTCCATTTTGATTATTATGTTGACAGACCACCACCAGAGACTCCTGACATAATAGCTAGTTCTGTAATTACAATCACTGATCTGCTACGTTAGTGTTTTTTCATATCTAAGAACATTCAGGTTAAATTGGGTAAAAGACGCTACCTTTTTTTGATCCACAGCACGGTGAATCATTACACTCAGAATTAGAATGGCAGATGGTAAATATAGTGCACCAAGTAGTGATTTCATTACGTGCAGGGTCATAATCAGGGTTTAGAAAATAGTGAGGCTTTTTTTCACTTAATCTATCACATTTTAGGGGTAAAACGTTTGCCCCACTGACCAGTAGGCTAAACTTCTAAATAAACTAGATCAAAGCATTACAACACAGTCAAATTTTGAAAACTTAAAAAAAAAAACAGCTTTCCTTTTCTGGTATGTGGAAATATGGAATCATCCCTTCATTTGAAATGTTAAAAAAAAGCATTTGGGAAAAAAAGTTACTACACAACAGCAGAAACCATTCGTCATGAGTCACACTTCGACCTAACACCTCTAAACGCAACCCAGTCAGAGGCACAGTAGGGCCTTTTCAGAGTCTTTTCAAAGTAAAAGCCATCTAGAGCAGCGGTCACCAACCTCCGGGCCTTGGACCGGTACCGGTCCGTCAGTCATTTGGTACCGGCCCGCGAGAGTAGAGGCTCAAGTGTGAAATGTATGCTTTTCAGGGTTTTTATCGGTTTTCAGCGTTATTTTGTTATTGTTTTTATCGTTAACTCGGTTTTCCTGGGTCTTTTCACGTGTGTTATGAATAAATCTTATTTTTTTCGGTACCAGTACTAGTTTTATTTTGTTGTAATTATCCGCGACACCTTAAAGGCCGGTCCGTGAAAATATTGTCGGGCATAAACCGGTCCGTGGCACAAAAAAGGTTGGGGACCGCTGATCTAGAGCGTCACATTACCCCAGTTTTACTCTTTTTTTCAATGACTTCCTGTCTATTTAAGAATGGATTTTAAAATTCCGTTGCTTGTTTTTAAGTCTTTGAATGGGCCCCCCTCCCCTTATTTATCTGAGCTTTTAAGTATCCAGACTCCTGCTACGGCACTAAGGTCCTCTACTGTTCTTATAATACTTGTAGGCCCTACACTGTGGACCCGCTACCCCTGAACACCAGATCTGATAATAATTTAGGGGCCTTCATGTTGTTACCCAAAGCTTGCCTGTTTTCCCTGGCTTTTAGAGAATTTAGTGCTTTTGGTTTAGTTGTTTTAAATGTGCTATGCAAATAAAGTACAAGTTGAAGGTGCCAATTTTTACCATCCTACAGAGGTCCAGACATCAATTAACTCATAGCTGGTTATGCCCAATGTTGTGTGTTACTTTTGTTGGCTAATCCTCTCCCAGATTTTTGTGCTAAAAGGAAACACATAGGTGCATTTGCCAAACTGTTGAACTTTTTTATAAAACCAGGATCTGATATTGAAATGGGACTTGGCTGCTATTATATCTTGGCTTAGTAAAGTACAAAAACAAATTAAAAAGATCACACTTTTAAAATACAGAATTTTATTATTATTATTAAGATACAAGACTAAATGTTCAAAAGGCTGAAAGAGCAGGTGGCAGCAAGAAATCCCCAAAATACATAAAAGCAGCTGCGTTACCAGCTACGGCACAGAGAACCGTATTACTATTATTAACAAAAGGGCAAAACAACAGCAAGCAAGTAGGGTTAAGAACATGTGGTGAACCTAAACAGCCCGAGGACGACAACAGTTCTATTAAAACACCCATAAAAGACAATTAGAGCAAATTCTAAAGAGAGACGGAGTCATTAGAATTTAACCAAACCAGTATACCAATAAAAACAGAAGCCACGAGGTCCTCTTAAACCCAGAAAATTAGACCTTTTTACTTTCCTCTGGGAGTCTTTTGCTGAGTCTCCGGGTTCTTCTTCTGCTCTTACAGCGGCGTTATTCCCCTGTCTCATCTGATGACCCTGTGTCACTTGTCTTGCTATAAAACCTATCCTCCTAATTAAAGTAGTCCTTTCCCTTGTTTAGCGCTGTCTCACTCTGTAATTTGTGTCACTGCCAGTTTCTCATCTTCTTTTGTTTGTTCTTTTTTCTCCCCCCTCCTGCCTTCTCCTTATTTCTCACCTCCTATCTACAGCTCCCCCCACCCCTTACACTTCCTTTATTTGTTGTTTCTCCTTGTCTGTCTTCCCCTCTCGACCTAATCATTTCAAACTGCCGCATTACTATTCACCACATGGCCGTATATCTCATTATGTCGAAGCCCACAGCCTCTTTGTAAATTTCAAGCTCCCCCTTCTTTAAGTCCATCACAATCGATATGGCAAATGCTGCGGCACCTTCCTCTACCAGAGCACCGTGGTACACAAGTCTTCCATTAGCCGCTAATGGTTTCCACAACTAATAGAGTTTTCAACTTCAGGTATCAGGTGGGAGCAGGTGTTATTTTATGCTATGCGGTTGTGTTGATTCTGCCATCGGCAAGAAGGGGAAAATGGAATACAGATTGGAAAGAAAGAGAAGAATGAGGGTAACAAAAGAAAAGAGTGTTATTAAGAAAAGAATTGAGTGGTAGCGTAACACTAGACACAAGTGAAAGGGGTATGTAAATGGCAAATGCATTAGTGCCATCATTAGTGAAGAGAAATAGCTTTTAACTTCCAACCTTTAGGCTTGCCTTAAGCAAGATTCACCTCAGAAGATGGAGAAGCAATTTGCGAAGGGTAGGTACTGTTAATTTCTCATTTGTTCGAAATTTGAAAGTCAGTGAAAACTAATTCGTATGAGTTGCTGGGCTTGGATTAACTATAAGGAAATCCAGCGCGGTGTAGCAGAAGCTGTGGCTCCTTTAATAAAGCAAGTAAAAGGATCACATAGCCTCAAAGGCTTTTATCTTCTGACCTGTGAAAATGGAAGTACCCTTCAATTAGAAATTGCTCTGTGCTCTATAGGGTGGGACTGTTTGGTGAAATGGGTTAGGGAAGGTAGTAAAAATAGCTGTGTGTGTCCGAGGTTGTTTATTATTGCATGTCGCTGCAACAACATGAGGGAAGGTGTGAGCAACTTGAGAAAGACTGGCCACAGTCACATTAAGGATTGTGGGTGGTTGCTGGTGGGAGATTGGACTGTTTGAAGAGTAAGGCATGAGTCGGGGAGGTGATCTAAGAAGTCATGAGCCATGCAGCAAGGGCAGAAAAAAGGAAAATACTTGCAAGGAGAGTTAAACCAACCCGGTTTTCATTCCAGGGGCGTCAAATACTGTCTCGCTGTCAAAGCTGCTGGTGTCTCAGAGATAGGTGCAAAGTGTCCTTTGGCATCTGTGTGAAGACAGCCCTGGTCTCGCAAATCATCTCATATGGACCCATTGATGTCATTTAAATCCGCAGTGTTATTGTTATGTATGAGAATTGTTTTTCACCTAAACCCAACCCAATTATCTTAATAGGTTTGGTGCATAAACCAAATAAATTTCAGCTTTTGGTCCAATAAACTAATCAAGTAGTTCTTGGTGCATAAACCCAACAAAGTACTTTTAGAAGCTCAAAGCATGACAAGTAGTTTTTGATCCCTAAACCTAGCCAAGTAGATTTTGGTATCAAAACCTAATCAAGCAGTTCTTGGTGCATAAACTCAACTAAGTAGTTTTAGCAGTGTAAAGTCCGCCAAGTAGTTTTTGGTGTCTAAACCTAGCTAGGTAGATTTTGGTGTGTAAAAACAACAAAGTAGTTTAAAGAACACAAAGCCAGACAAATCTTTAGTGGGTAAACCAAAACAAGTAGTTTTCAGTCCAAAGACCTAATCAAGTAGTTCTGGGTGCATAAACCCAACTAAGTAGTTGTAGAAGCATTAAGCCTGAGAAGTAGTTTTTAATGCCCAATCCTAGACAAGTAGATTTTGGCGCATAAACCAAACAAAGTAGTTTTAGACGCATTAGACGTAGACACATAGGAGTGTAAAGCCGGCCAAGTAGTTTTTGGTATCTAAACCTCATCTTAGCTTTTTTTCCCCCTACATCTAATAATTTAGACTTTACTGAATAGTTTTTGGTACGTAAATCTAACCTAGCAGGGAGAAAAAGTGAAGAAAACAATGCACAGCTTCTGTCTGATAAATGTGCGATTTTCTGTCCTACTGTTTCGGACTTCTGTTTCCCCTCACCCAGACCGATCATGGCATCCCGTCACATTTGCCTTGTTCTGTCATAGGTGTCTTCACCAAGCACCTCAGACACATTTCCTTTACCTTAGAATACAAAACAGCTTAAGATGACTGTTGTTGAAAACTGGAGCATCAGTAAAATTAAATATTTAAAACAAGACTACTATGTTATCATCCAGTGTTGCTGTGTGCAGTTAAAGGGACACTTTGTCTATGAAACATCAGCGGTTTCAGTATTAGATGCCCGGTGATGAGTGCGTGTCAGCCTTACATTAGAAGCATTTTGACCGATTAAAAATCGACAGTTTAACTGTGCGACACACGGCACAAACAAGCTATTTAATTGCTGCTAGCAGATGCTGAAAAAGGCTCTTAGCAGAACATTGTTTGTTTTCCACATGGCTCCACTGACATCAAACGATCTCTTAGCCCAACAGAAATGGGCCGCTCCACTAATAAACTTTTATGGCGATCTTGAAGCGAGCATCGCATTTTTCCAGCAGAAGACTCAATTTGACCTTCAGGGGTTAAATCTAAAGGGTGTTGGAGCAGATTGGATAATTTGTCAGCACTGGCTGAGGTTTGCACTTTATTGCAGTGTGCTCGTTAGTTTCTTAATGTTTCAGCAGTGTTCATGTGTTTTTTTCTCTCTTCCCCTGTCTCTACAGGACACCCCTGATAGCAGCTGGAGTCATCGGCGGCCTATTCATCATCGTCATTCTGGCGCTCAGCGTGGCCGTTTATGTTCGCCGCAAAAGCATCAAAAAGAAGAGGGCCTTGCGGCGTTTCCTGGAGACAGAGGTGAGAGAGTAGAGGGTAGAGCAAACATATTGGGAGGTTTCTCCTCACCTGTGTTTTCTGAATGCTTTCAGCTGAATTAAGTTTCCTTAAAAGGTTTCATTGCACTAAACCTTTAAGGAAACCTTGAAATATTAAACCTTGGCTAAGGTACTTAGCCAAAGCAGCCAGCGCAAAGGAAGGTTGGAAAATTATGCATGGTCACCGCTGCCCATCGATCTGGCCTTGAAGAAGGTTCATTTCTGGGAAGCGTTAGAGAGCGGAGCGGATTTCATTATCAAAGGTGAAAGTCAAAGATCGGGAAGGGTGCAGGGTTTATAAAAGCATCCATGCTTTGGTCCATGCCTTTTATGGTGCTACAGGACTCTCTCACACTGTTTCCTCCAGCAGTCATATCATCACTGCAGGTCCGCCGAGTTGGCCGTGCCCGTAGGTGGGGTAGGCTGCTTGTCATTCTGGATTAGGATAATTTACAGGTAGAGGCAGCAGTGTTATAGACAGCTGCCAGGCAGGAGATGGAATTAGAGGAGGGCAGCCATGGGCAGTTTCTGCCTCATCCCAGCCATGCACATCCATCTTAATCAAGCAGGCCCTGCTCAGACAGCCGCTTGACCCGGAGGGAAGTCTTCACTCCGTGCAGATTCGCTAATGTAGTGTCACGGAGCAGGAGGGGGTGGCTGAGAAGGATTCAGGTTGGGGGATGGGGATCCACTTGACCCTTTTTTCTTTGTTTTTTTTTTGCATTTCTCTGTTCAATGTTCATTCAGTGCTGCAGCAGGAAAGCCTGAAATAAAGCCAGCATAACCTTTTTTCCCCTCCCCTTCATTCCCTGAGGGGACGTGTAAAGTAATTAGACATAAAATCTTAAACGCCTCTGGCCCAGGGGCTACACAGATTAAGAGCGGGTCACAGGTTCCGCCCACATGCTCACATATTAGCAGCCGTGGAGTGTCCTGAGCTGGACGTTTAACCTCAGTCTTTTGGCAGTTACTGCGTACGAGAGCATCAGCCGAACGGCGAAAGGACAAAAGCAGTGGATCGATGCCATTACCTGACGGTTGTGATCGGTGCCTGAATATGTAATTCCCCTACTGTAATTTAAAATAATAGAAAGATTAAAATTTCAGTCCAGATTCCTGTTATTTATTGCTGGTTCTAGAAGGGATTAGGTTCTCCATTTGATTTTCGTTTTCCCTTAAATGTATCATCTCATTGTGCATGCACGCACTACTCTCTCCATCTGAATGCTTTCCCGCACTCTCGCCCTCCCGGCATCCTTTTAAAAAAAAAAAGACCATGCGCTTTTGCAGTTTATATCACGCCTTTTTTTTTTTTTTGGCTGATGAAACTACGTGATAGGCTTTGGACGGCCGAGTGCAGATTCTCTATTCAAACGAATAATGGAGCTGACTCTGTGTCTGTGAATGGAGATCAAGCTTGTCTGGATGAGGGATTTGGGGGACGGCGCCGGGCTCTGGGACTCCCCCTCTCTCTCCTTATCTGCCATAGCTTTTTTAAACAGAGTGCTCACCTCCTGCGTCAGACGGGAGGGAAAGATGCCTCCAGTGCATGCTGTCAGAACGTGATCTGAGCGCCCGACTCCGCATTTCCATATCAAGGACACGTGTGAAGGCTGTTGCACTGTGTTGACTTGCAAAAAAAAAAAGGAAAGAAACACTCACACTCACTCTGCCATTTCACTGTTCTCCCTTTCTTTCAGTATTTTCTCTGTTTTACTATTCACCGTCTGTCTCTCGTCGTGTCCTCACCTTCTCGTTTTTTCCCCCATTTTTGATCTCTGCTTATCTGTCTCCCTCCCTCGTGAACAGACGCTTTATTCCTCTGTCATCTTAACTTCCTGTTTTTGTTTTTGTTTTTGTTTTTCCTCCTTCTGTCTTGCTCTCCCTCACCTCTCTCTTCACCCCCTCACATACTGTGGAGCCTTTTTGATGAAGCCCCTGAAAACAGATTGCTTTCACACAGGGGACAGGCGGCACAAACAGCAGCAGTCCCCTCACTGCTGCAGCGTGACCCCAGGGTTTTGACCTTTGAACCCAGCTCAATGAAGTAGGACTAATGCCTTTGAATCCTCCGATGCCCCGCCCCTCGATCCCCCTCATCCCCCCCCTCCCCCCAAGGTCCTTCTTCTAGCTCCTTTGTACAGGCGTGAGTGTTTCAGCACCACGGGTGAGGACAGCTCCCCTGCTGCTCATACGCTCTCTTACATGAAGGGTTTCAGCATGGACAGCTCCTGTTGTTCACCCCAAGGCAGGCTGACTGAGCAGAGGCATGGGGAATCATCAGAAATGCATGCAACTGAAGTTTATGTTAAATTTAAGCCAAGATCTGAGAAATTCAAACCGAATATGACACCTAATATGTCACAGCAAATGTTAAACAAAGAGAATATACATGACACGCATTGTGGAACGTATGAAAGTTAACCCTCTGAGAAACCTTGTGGCGAATAAAAAAAGAGATTAAATATCACATTGCGTAAATCAGGTTTAATTTGGAGCTTCATTTTTGCTACAGATGACATTTTTGTTCAGTTTTATTGCTTACTACACTGATGATGTAGCAGTCTCAAAAATTCAAAAAACTCCATGTATTAAATATGATATACTTGGCATTAAAGGATTAAGGTACAAATTTGTGTTTTATATTACATCCAGCTTCTCAGTTTTCTCATACATAAGGATACATAGCATAAAGTTACATAAACCTCTTTAGAAAGGGCTAATAACCTGGGATATACTCCAAATACTCCGAAGCCCAAAATCATCCAATGAGAGGCACTTCTGCAAACCGAAGCGCCTTGTTTTTTTGGGTTTTCTTTTTTCGAGAGGTCAGAGAAGAATGTCTGGGCTGGTTTGAGCTGACAGAGAGGTTACGGTAACTTGGATAAACCACTCTTTACAGCAGTGGTGAGCAGGAAAGCATCTCAGAAATGCCCAGCATGTCAAAGCTTGAGGCAGACGAGGCAGAAGACACAGCTGAGTTCCACCCCTGTCAGCCAGCAAGAGTAATCGGAGGCAGTAGCGGGCACCGGGCTCAAAAGAGCTGGACAGTTGAAGACTGGAAATAAAAAAAAAAAAACAACATAGCCTGGCAGAAATCCCAGCTCTGCAGAGGTCTCGTTTTTTCTTTCTTTTGCTGATTAGCTGGATCAGGTGTCAGGTGTGTTGTGCTAATCAAGAAATAATCAGGTGTGGGTTCTGAGGACCAGGACTGTTTGTTTCTGTGATTTGATTTCTTTCCTCGGTGGACTTTTTATAGGCATGCACTGCGCTTCTGTAACGAGAGTCGTAATCAAAAAATAAATGGACTCATTAAAGAAACAAATACTCAACTGAAGGCATCGGTCCATTTAGATATCTATGTATCTACATTTTTGCTGTTTGTTTATATTACTGTGTCTAAATTGTTATGGTCGATCGTGGCTCAAGAGTTGGGAGTTCGCCTTGTAATCGGAAGGTTGCCGGTTCGAGCCCCGGCTTGGACAGTCTCGGTCGTTGTGTCCTTGGGCAAGACACTTCACCCGTTGCCTACTGGTGGTGGTCAGAGGGCCCGGTGGCGCCAGTGTCCGGCAGCCTCGCCTCTGTCAGTGCGCCCCAGGGTGGCTGTGGCTACAATGTAGCTTGCCATCACCAGTGTGTGAATGTGTGTGTGAATGGGTGGATGACTGGATATGTAAAGCGCTTTGGGGTCCTTAGGGACTAGTAAATCGCTATATAAATACAGGCCATTTACCATGGTCACTTTTATTCTTCAGCACAGTCTGAACTCTCTTAGGAAGCTTTCTTTAAGTAGTCTTCAGGAATAGTTCTCCAGGCTTCTTGAAGGACATTCAAAGCTCTTCTTTGGATGTTTCTGCTTTTTGTTCTGTTCTCTGTCAGCATGGTCCCACACTGCTTCAATAATGTTGAGGTCCGGACTCTGGGGAGGCCGATCCATGACTGATAGTGCTCCACTGTGTGTTTTTCTATGCAGGTATGATTTTACTGCATTGGCATTTTGGTTGGGGAGCATTGTCATGCTGAAAAATGAAGCTGTTGTTAATCAGATGTGTTCCAGATATTTTTGCATTGTGGATCAAAATCTGATGGCACTTTTCTGTGTTCATAATTCATCAATTTTTGCAAGATCTCCAACACCAATCTGGATTCATCACTCGTTTAGACCTATTGTTACTGATTTTCAGTCCAGTTTTTGTGTAATTTTCATCCCTCAGCTTTTTATCCCTGTTTCCTTTCCTTAAGCATTTTTGACAGCACCCTTCCACAAAGAACATTTCTGATGACACTTCAGTGTTCAGTAGATGATCAGCTGAAGGTCTGGATGCATCTCTTATCTCCTGTGTCAGGTCTTTGCTGGATTATTTCCTGTTTCTTAACGATGTGGTTCAGATCATTCTTTTAGGTCTGACACTTCTTCTTTTGTCCTCCACTTTTCCTCAAATTTTTTAAGGACACACTGCACACCATGCTGAGATATGCCAAATGTTTGGCAATAGCTCTTTGCGAATTACCTTGTTTTGTGACAGCCTGCTAGTAACAAAGTGCCTAAAGATACAATTTAAAATTGATTCTTTGTTAAGTTAACTGTATGTCTAGACAAAAACACTGGTTCATCCCTTGAATTAGGAGCCTTTACTGTGCTTGACTGATTCATAGGTCAGTGCTAAATGGTTTAACAAACAAAAACGTTCAGGCACAAGGACTGGACTGAAAATGAGTGAAAAAAGAACCAATGTCCAAATAAATATTGTATTGTAAAATATCAAAGAAGAGCAGAAATGTTTGGAGTAACAGACAGTATAATACATACCGTATAATCAATGCTAACAACAACAGGGAAGTTAAGTAGGAAAGTAAATAACACAGGCAATTAATTTACAAGTAAATGTTAAAAAAAAGAAAAACATTATTGATTTAATTATTTCATAATTAATCCCTATATTTAGTTATAATATTATCTTTGGTTTATTTAAAGTCATATTTATTAATTCATCAATTTTGGCACATTAGGTCCTCCATATTTTCCAAACTTAGCCTAAAGTAAAGAACTTTTTTCTTTTTAAATGATAACTGTGAAAGTTACTGAGTCTTTTTCAAGTGACAGGAGAGATGAGTAAGAAAAAGTCTGTTTCAGTCCGTACAGCAGTGGAGGAATTAGTTACTGCTCGCCTTTCTCCAATATAGCACTCTTGTTTAAGCACTCTCGCCAGATTTGAATAATAAAGTCAATATAGCAAATTAAAAAAAACAAGGGTTGACCCAATGTACTTTCCGGCTGAGGCAAACTTATTAACATTCAAAGCCGCTAACCCCCCCACCCCCACCACACACACACACACACACACACA